CATGAGCACGCATAAAAATCGTAAAAAAAAATCGAACGAACGAACAAACGAATCAAGCTTAAGATAAGCAATCTGCTCCGAATGTTACATTCTATGCGTCAACTTTCAGATTTTCCACTCAAATGCACATGTGAAATAGTGAGCGAATGAGATAACAAGCAAAAGAGTGCCGTCTCTTCAGCTTTCTACTAGTTAATGGTCGCCCCCACTCACCGAAAAAAGAAGAAGCTTAGAACATCCGACGGAAGAAAAAAATTTAGAGGCTTTCTGTGCTCTATCGTTCACATTTCACAGCTGAGACACGTTATCGGTGGTATTTGATCTTCATCGCATACTTTTGACAATATTCTCCGTTCATTTTATTGATATGTCTATTGCCTATCGAAAAGAGCGACGAGATGGCATTTATTGCCTGTTTCGCTGCTTGCTATGCCTCTCATCAAGCTGATGAATGAATGTCATCAGGCATTTAGCATTATTGTTCGATATTATTAGAATATTTATGCAGAGACGAAGGCAGACAAAAAAAAGCGATCTCGATAATTTCCATCAACGAAAAATGTGACGTTATTTTTTGTTTGATTAGTAGGATGGGGCGTTTAGTACCATGCAATCAATATAAAAAATATATTGAATTCAGCAGGTGGCACAACGCCATTACCAAACATTTTTCTTGGTTTTCTTGTTTCAGGTGACTGCGCTGCCACATAAAAATGCGCGTATAGATCCAGTGTGCCATTATAACCCCAATTAAAGCACCTGTCTTCAATTTGGCAGTTGATCAAACAACCAGCCAATCGACTTTTAATTGTGCACGCTCCATTGAACGCAATACGATTAAAATTGACAATTCTGGCATGTTGTTACGACGCCTTTTTCCTCATCGTTATAATTTTCCTGCCCTTGTTTCGTTATTCTTCTTTAAACAGCATCTTTTTTTTACTGTTTTCCACATAAATGGAAAATTATTTCTTCATGTTGATGGGGATCTGTTTTTATGGTATCAATCGTTTTTAACAGTACCCGCGCGGTTGTATCAAAAAAAAATATACATAAAAACAAACATATACACACACAACATGTTTGGCTTATTCTGCACGTTCGACGAGCAATTACAATTTTCCTCTTGTTTGTTTGTTTCCAATGCGGAGATGACCGAAGAAAACGACTTGGAAAAAACAACAACGAAACAGAAAATGACTTTTAATAGTAATTTTCATTGATGCAGACGAAAGAATGAAAAAAAAGACGTCAAATGACCAGGGTGGTTTGTTGATGATGATAAAAAAGCAGCAACCAGCCTCATAAATGGCATTGCAACGGGGCAAGTGTTATTCATTCTAATTGAAAATGGTCGAGAGCGAGAAAGAAGAAGCTCGTAAACATAACAAGTGCAACATAACGTCTCCACATAAAAACGGTTACTGACAATAAAACCAGAGAGAGAGAGAGAGAGCGAGATAGAAAGAAAAAAATCAAGAGCTAAGTCTCACAGTACCACACACAGCAATGACGAAGAAGCGAACAAAAAAAATAAACACATTATCACGGAAACATGCCGAAACGTTTTATTGCTGGGCTATATTTTGTGTAACAATTCAATATTCAAGCACGTTGTTCTGCACCCGTTCTATCTATCTCACACACACACTCTGTCATTCCTAAGAATTTTATTCTCTGTCGCTCATGTCATTCGGTCGGGCGCACTGTGGTTCTCATTTGCGCTTCGAATGCGTATCGGTGTTCGACAGTAGCGAACTTGAATGAAAGACGAATCGTTTTTATTTCATCACATATTTTATGTTTAGTTGTTGATGTTGCTGCTGCTGCTGCTGCTGCTGTTGTTGGTGGTGGTGGTGGCTTCTAACTGTGCATTCGACAAATATGGATTCAGTACAAATACACACATCCACTAGCTTTTGTCAATTGCAATGTTTCTGTAGATGTTGTTTTTGTTTTTTTCTTCTGTTCTTCCAGCGATTATCGGGGCTTGTGAATGTGTACGAAATGGAAAAAGACAGGGGAGGAGAGGGTAGTGAAGGAGAACAACAACAACAAGAGAAATTCGAAGACATAAATCGATATACTTTGCAACATTTCCAATATTACATGGCACGGAATGGTGTGTTTAAGACACAACAATACAAATCACATTCGTATGGAGAGCGAGCGAGTGACAGAAAGAAAGAAAGAACGAGAGAGACGATACGCTGAAAACCGGAAAACTCGTTGGGCAATTAAATTTTAAACAACAAAGACAGCACATAACGAAGTTATTAAAGTTGTTTTTTTTTTCTCTCTGTGTCTTGGCATGTTTTATCGTTGCTCGTTCATGCTGGTCATTTTGTAAATGGTCAGAGTGTAAAAGAGAGTGAGAATGAATGAGAGAGAAAATGTTTGTCATTTCTGGCTGATTTTCCGAGTTTTCGGTTTGTTTCAGATTCAGTGATCTTTTGCGAATTTGTTCGAATCGAGTGACTCGAATGCGAGCTTAATTGTGGTTCGTCAATTAAAAATGTATGCATTGTGCGGGTTGGTGTGTGTGCTCGCTTGGCAGAGTTCCTACTGGTCAATGGGTTGCTTTTTTTCGTCTTTTTTATACAGCTATTGCTGATATTGCTGTTTTTTTTTCTCTACTCGTTTCGATGATTCGGTCGACAATTGGTGACATTTTGAAGCCTCCGAAAACAAGCTCATTTGCAAGAAGACGCCACCTTTACTCTACCATCCCAATTATCATTCGAATACTGTGCGATTTTTTTCTCTCTCTCTCTCTCTCTCGCTACTCTTGGAACCAAGAGAAATTCTATTGTTTGAAACATTACGCGAACTTGGTTGTCTCTTTATTTCACTTTTGGGCTCAGCGGCACATTTCCTTTTGTATTTATAGGTTTTCATGTCAATCGATTCTTTCAATGGTTTCTTAGCGATTTCGACGGAAAAGAAGAAAGGAAAAAAAGCGCATGCCATAGCAGTCGAATGATGTTACAAAAATGATTTGAACCGAAATTGACGTGTGTAAGGGTCGTCCGGTATCTATCCTCATCGTGATTGACAAAGACGGGAAATGATTCTACAGTTTTGAATTTTCTCTCTTTTTCTCGCTCCAAAAGGTAGTAAACATGGCGTTATGTGTTGTTTTCTTAAATCTCACCATTAAAAAATTGCTGTTTGGCCCATTAGAATGACGACGGTCATAGTGGGGCACGTGAATGGCTCAAATAAATAATAAAACCATGTTAACCGCCATAAATAATCGTCATCGGGGAAAAATAACACATTTTGGGGAGAAAAAAATGGTATTTTTCACAGCGAAAGTGGGCCAAAGTACACAGCGCGTACGTGTTTTCTTCATCGTCATCACTGTCGTCGTTGACGTTGTTGTTGCTGTTGTCGGTTCCCTTTTGAAAAGTTTAGTGGCTTTATACCATTTTTTTGAGGCTGGTGCGGTGCATTTGCACATTTTGATTATATATTCATTCCAATTCACTTTTTGTGGTTATTTTTCTTTCGTTCGTTCCTTCTTGTGTTTGTTCGGCTCCCATTTCAAAAAGATGCATTTATTATACGTGTGTTGTGAATCTGTTGCATATTCTCCATAAGTTCTCCTTATGTGTATGTGTTGTTTCTTTGAAATGGCAGTCAGTGGATATCTTTTTTATGCTAAATTGATCCATTTTCGCTGTTTAAATGAGACGCTTATAACTTTTCAAAAGATAGATATTTTCATGCTTGCGATTTCACGTAATCGAATTGAATTGCGTTTTTTTTTCTCTTGGTCATTCGCTCTCTTGTTCGTTTACTCTCTTTCGCTCTTTTGCTCTTTTGCTCTCTCTCTCTCTCTCTCTCTCTCTCTCTCTCTCTCTCTCTCTCTCTTTGGCTCGTTCAATCAAAACAATATGGAACGTGTTTTTCGTTTCGGTAAGTTTTAGTATTGATTTTGGCGATGGATTTGGTCCAATGATTGGATTCGCTCGAGCACGGATTTCATCGCATCGTAAATTTGCGAATAGTTAAAGGGAGTGAGAGCCAAAGAGTGGTAGCAATAGCAGCAGCAGTACAAATGTCATGGCTACATTTTTCGCTGTATGTGTGGAGGTGGTGTGTGAGTGTTCATTGTGTGTCGAAAATACTTTGTCGTCTACACAAATGAAATTTATTGAGTAACTAGGCAAAACATATATACATAGTACCGAACAGCGATGCAAACGCACACACACACACACACCGTCCGATCCGATCCGATCGACACAACGGTTTTTGAATAAAAGACCGTA